TCACTTGCTTTACTTTCCTATTGGTATTTCTTTCATATTATGTTAAGGCAAAAGCTAATGAGCGCCCCCGGAGCGTTATATAAGAGAATTAAAGTGCAAATATTAGAGTAAAATTAACATTAATTACACCGAACGACGCGTGATTTTGTCATGAATTCCTAACTTAATATCATTTCAACCAATATAATTTATCCTTATCTAACGCCCCGGGGCGCTCGTTAGCAAGATCCTTATGTTAAATGATCAATCCAACCAAAAGTTTAAGCTAATGGACTCCGTATATCCGACGCGAAATATTTCACTTAAAAGCGGGGTCGTATGAGATTCAAAATTGTAACCTTTGTGTCACGCTAACTCCAATACCATGTTAACGGATCATCTCAACCAAAAACTTAATTGTAACCTGATGGTTGAATTTCGGAATTATCTTATATTCTATCGCATTATTATTTATGAAACAAATTCATAAAACGCAAATTAAAGCCAACATAATGTCTCAACTCACCACAACAAGAAAAATGTAATGTCCTAATCCCAACAAGGCCAAGAAAAACATTCACACATAACATTCCCATGGATAGTTACGCGTAGGGTGCACTTGTGTACCTAAATTATGCGGCAATTTACCAATTTTATAATTTCATTTAATCTAGTTAGTAATTTCATCCAAGAAGCTAAGATAAGAAAAAAGTGATAATTTAAACTATTAAAATTTCAAACTTTTGCCTAGCTATATATCGAAGTTCCAAACAATAAAATGACAACTGCCAAAGTTATCATATGTTTTGACTTTTCAAGCATTTTGCCTTGTCCTTATTCCGACAATTATCGATTATATTATTTAGTTTCGAAATCAATTAAAGTACCTTTTATGTATTAATAGACAATTTTTTTTACTTATATTTGAAAATATTGTGGAAAATATGTTTTATTTTTTAAATAACAAGACAAGCTCTAGAGAAATTAAGGGTCTGTTGTCATTGACTGAAATCAGCTGAACTGAATTGAAGTGAAATGAATATTTTATAAGAGAAGGAAATTAGGAACTGAACTGAATTGAAGTGAACTGAACTGAAGTGAAGTGAAGTGAACTGAACTGAATTTCAACGTAAGAGAACAGACCATAAGTGTTTGTTTGGTCCATAACAAAATAAAATAGAAATTGTGAATCTAAGTTTTTTGACGAAAAAGAAAATTGCATAATTATTCATCCATATAAAAACCATATATGCAACAATGCAAGTGATAGTTTATGTGAGAAACCAACCCAAACAACTTTTTTGGCTTGCTATAAATTAATGGAATTGATTGTATGGGATAAAGTACTGCTTCCTACAAAGTATGTTTGACTGAATTGGCTATTTATTTAGACGCATGAATGTCATTTCTTACTAAATTGTTATTGCTACTGAATTAAATGAGTTGAGAAGGGCCAAAAATAATTTATATTATACAATAAAGCCATACAATTCATGAATGCATACAAACATGCAACAAAACATAAAGACCCTACCTTTAGCCAATGGCCATATCATAGGTTATGACAAAACCTTCTTTAATTTAAATTACAATACAACAACGAGACAACTTTCATATCGAGGAGAGCACCGTTATTGAGACATGGATTGACATTAGAATTTGATTCGAAACTACACGGACGACTAGAAAAGAACATTTTCATCGAAGTGCCAAAATTTTAGATGACAAGAGAGCCAAAATTAAGGTGGATTAGAGCGAGGTACATATGAACTAGAAATTCATGTAAGAAGTTCCAAGTTATTTAACGGAACTAGTACAAATATTTATTTAGAAGCTTTTATACAAAACAATATAAAAGCAAGGTTATCCGAACTCTTTAGATTGATCTTTGTTCGCGAAACATTCATCAAATCAATTTTAAATACTTCGTAAATCATACCAAGTAGTAATGATAATATTGGTGTATGTAATCCAAAATTTTATAGGTCAATTGATTTAGTAAAGTGCTTATGCGTATTCTAGAATCTTTCGAATAAAAAGCAAGGTTACTCTTTGCTCATTATTTCTCTAGATTTTTCTAGCAGCTTAGCTTGTAATATGCAAGCCGCCAAGGTCCTTAAACGTTCAAGAGAGCAACTAGAAGAAATGGTTCGTTAAAATTCTCAAATATTATTACTACAATAATGATGAAAGGAGTTTTGGAATACTTTAGCCATTTCTTTCAACCTGCCACCTTCAATTGGTGATGGACATTCAATAATAATATGCACACAAGAAGTCATTCATACCCATATACAAGTCTTTCCATCCATTAACCCTCCTTGTACACCATCCACCTTCTCTACTACAAATCAACTATTCCTTTTTAAATATTCTTTTTGGTACACTCCTATAAATTTAATGCAGTTGATTATTTTCGGGTGCTTGTCTTTCACGGGTACTTTGCCTTTATTGAGTATTTTTCCCACGTTATTTCATCTATTATCTTGTTTGCTTTTATTCTCCACGTCTTTGATTTATTTTCGCTTTGCAATCACAACCCTAACAAATAATAATAGTAACAATAATTACAGTGATAAGTTATTAGTTATATCATACGTAAGGTACAACCGGTTAAAAACCATTTTCTAATTTCGGAAATAATAATTACATGTTTTGAATGATTTATTAGTCGATAGTGGGCTAGAATACCTTTAGAGAGAGAAATAACCTAATTTGGAAAAGTAAATTGCCTTATTGATCCACATAAGCATATTAGTTATTGCTTTGCTGCAAACTGAACAGTGGCCAACAACTCCTAAATTCTTGGGTTAATTGGGTCCCTACTTTCCTATCTTTGGGCACTTTGGGCTTACACGTGGGCTTTTAATGAACCTAAGTGCTCCTTATTTGTCTAGTTTTTGTCAATTGTTCATTCATTTTCATTTCATCAACTCACGCATATTTGATGACTAATGTATGTAGTCTCTTTTTGGTGCATTTCAAATTTTTTGGTGCATTTGTGAATCAACTTAAGAGCATGTTTTAACTTTTAATTGATGGTTTTTCTTTTCTTTTTTTTTTTTTTTGTTACAGTTTGATAATTTTGTAAGATCAAATATACTCCAAATGTTTAATAAATTATGTGCATAAAGCTTATTATATGGCTATGAGGGTGACATCATCATACCATATTGATATCGGTCCATGTTTAGCTTGACAAAAGTATAAAAAAATCAACAAAGATTAATGATTTTGAATATCAAAATATTTCTTTAAAGAAGAATAACTTTTATAACTTCTACGGAGTAGTTTTTAGGACTGTTTTCAAATGATTACAGTAAAATTGTGGCTATTATATTAAATTTAAGTACAGCAGTTCATGTTTATTGACTAATGTAAAATGTTGATGGAGTTAAACCTTTTCTTTTATTTTTGAAAAATGATAAAAAAAAAAAAAAAAAAAAAATCATACCACGTTCTTTGTGTTTTTATAGGTATTTTTTTTTTCTTTCCTCTACTCAATAGTCAGTCAATATTGTTCTTGTCAATCTAATCCTAAAGAATTTTCCATAGCCTCTCTTGTGAAATTAAGAACTAAACAACATCAACAATCAACTTCATTAAAAATTATAGGAAAAATACTTTAATACATTAAACTAATCATGAATTTATCCTTTCTTAAAATAAAAAAAATAAAAAAATAAAAAAAAAAAACATATTTGAGAGTCGAAATAGAAGAAAATATGACAAAACTAAAACTTACTGAATCAGTTCCAATATATCATGCAAGAATTTCGATCTGATTTTAACTCCCAAGAGAGGAGTTGTAAAATTCTTTTGGATTGGATTGAAGCGAACGATATTGAATAGCGGGAAAGGAAAAAACTACTCTGTAAACACTGAAAAAACGTGGTATGATTTTTAAATTTTTTGACCAATGTTTTTCAAAAATGAAAGTAAAAGTCAACTCCATCACCAATACATTAATCAATAAAAATAACCGGCTGTGGTTAGATTTAATACCATAGCCAGCTGTGGTTAGATTTAATACCATAGTCACAATTTTATTGTAGCCACTAAAATGATTTTCTATTGGCAAACTCTGACAGATTAGCCTTTCAACTTGATAAATACTTTAAAATTCTTAAACATGTGTTTAAAATATAATGGCTAACCAACTATTGTAGTCGGGTAAAATCCTTAAACATGTGTTTAAAATATAATGGCTAACCAACTATTGTAATCGGGTAAAATCCTTAAACATGTAAGAATTAATTCTGCACTAAACATTTTTTTTAAAAATAACATTCAAGGCTTCAAGCTTATTAGGGACCACTTTTATCTTCATGAAGTCCACACAATTCCGTAAAATAAAATAAGAATCAATTAATCCTATTTCCACTTGATAATAAAGTAATTAGTACTGTACATCAACAACATTAGCCGATCAAAATTATGAAACAAATCTCTTATTTCATCTATTGATGATAAGATAACAATGCCAACTGCATGTGAGTTTGATGCAATTATCCCCTAGATAACAATAATTAACACTAATTACATGCTCTAATTGCGCTTTGAGAGGGGGTCCACAGGATATTCTACGTAGTATATCTTACTGAAATAGTAAGATAAATTCAAAATATGTGGTCCGTTGATAAATTTCCACAGTTGTACTGTCAAATTGATTGCATTTTATTTAAAATGCTCTTTATCAATTTTTGAACTGTATTCTTTAAGAAGCCAGAGACAATATCAGGAGTTTAGTTAAAAAAAAAAACTAAGATTGTGCTAATAAGATAATCAGTTCATGGTCGGTCCCTAGTTCTCAACAAACTTGTCCCGAGTAGACAGATAATAAGTTCAAATAAAAAATGTTAAGTTTACTGTTTACATACAAGTTTTGCTACCGTAATTTATTAAGTTTAAATAAGTTCAGATAATATAATTTAAAAAGGTACACTAGAATGGCCGATTGATTGAGAAATTCAAAGTTGCATTGGTATGGTAGAATGACATGAGCAATAGATAATGGTAAGTAACACATGTATGATGTATCTATAATAGTAAGATGGTAGCAGGCAACCATATAACATAATATTTGTATACTAAAGAAACTTGCTTCATATTTCATTCAACAAGATAATGATTCTACATGAAGAAATGTTCTAAGCAATTAAACTCTGTAATGTAACCTCTCAATTTATATGATGTATGACAATTTCTGTATGAATCTACTCTGTAGTACTCCCTTCCACGAGTAACGAAATCCATGTATCAGTTAGTAATTAGCATGTATTGCACCACTTAAAATTGTGATGAATTTCTCTGGGGAGCAAGCCACTCAATTGGCGCTAAGTCTTGAAAAAAAAAATAGAAACTTACCGACCTATTATTTATCCACACTTCTAACAAACAAACCTTGTAATTGTATGATCAAGTCTTGCCATTTATGCTTCTAAGTATTTGCAACACCTGATCTTCTATATGCCTTACTTCTATCTTCCTGTTATGTATCGTAAACTGTTGAAGTTGCAAACGGGTTATCTGGGAGGTTAAGCACCTGGTTGCTGCATGGAGTCCAAACATAACACCAATTATAACGCGAACCACACATTTAGCAATTGTGAGTGTAATTATTTAACATGCTTAGTGCAAATATGTCCTGTTGTACAAAAATATTGATATAGGAGTTAACAGTTGAGTGCAGTGCATTAGTTTGTACCTTTCTCCGCTGTCATAATTAGTGTTCACATTCCTGAAGTTGTCCTCACTGGAAAAGCCAATGTTCAGATCGTTTAACCTGGAACTAAACTGCTCCAAAGTTGGAAACTCTGCATTTTCAGCATCAACTACTCAGTCCGATGATAATGGCAACAACAAAATATGCACTGACCCGAAACAGTTGATGGCTAAGATAGATTTGGTAAGAGTATGTATAAACCTTGAGCAAGCTTCAACTCATCAATAGAGTTGGCAAAGTATTGGAGTCGCGCTGATGGTTCAGGCAGTAATTGTGATTCAGAAAAGCAAGGCTTCTCCTGTTCAAGTGCCTCCTTGTGTTCATTCATGAATTGCTGCCTCATTAACCTTAGATAATCACTGGCTCTTGCCACTGCCAAATAGAGAAACAAATGTCAGAACAAACTGAGGCAGTTACGCGATTATTCTTAATGACATTGTACTCACAAGATTGGAATTCAAGGTCCCCATCACAAAGATGTGAGTCGTGCATAGAGCACTGTAGCTTCTCTGCATGATTCCTACAAATTTGGAGAATAAGACAGACAAACATTTGAAAAATATATATGACGAATATAAATCAAAATATCCTAACAGCACAGATTTATCTAATTGTCTAAACGGTAGTGACTATAAGGAGTAAGACTGTAAGAGCGCGTACATCTAAATCACACCAAACTTCAAATCGACGCGATTAATATTAGGATGTCATAACTTTTTCTTAATCAGATTTCCACTAGGAAGCCCTATGTGGAAGCGGGAGAAAGTAACCCTTCTATGTAAGTAGTACATATATGTCAAACTCAATTAGTGCAGAACAAATGAAAACTTACAAAAAGTCATCCTTAAATATCAATTTCAAAATGGAAAATCAACAATTTTTGTGTCAATCAATGCCAGCTGAGCCCTGAGATATTTTTTGATGATAAAGTATAAAGCTTTTGCTTATATGGTTGTATCTTATGAGCAAAATTATGTTATTGACATTGACAGATGAGTATGATTGATCACTTAATTATCGCGTCATTAGAGATATATATAAGAGCTAAATCAATTAATAGTACGTCCATACATAATAATAGACAACACTTTTCAAGGATTTTTAATCAATGATTCAATAGGTTTAGATGACTTACAAGAATAATGTGGTCTATTATTAGGGACAGAAACTGTCATAGATCAAAGCAAAGTACCAATGAAGAACACTAAAGCACACTACCTGTCAACAAGCCTTGACTTTTCCCTGTATGGTTTCACAAGAACGCGAGCACCACAAACAAAATGTGGGTTCCCCTTGGCCAAGATTTTCCGAACTGTTTCTGGATAAACAAAGGTAACAAATCCAAACATCCTTCTCTCTTGACTTGGAATCCTAACATCCTGGACAGGGCCGTAGGTGCTGCAGCACATAATACAGTAACACGAAATAAATCAGTTTTCAAGAATTTCCAACCATGAATAGCAATTTCTAATGTAAACTTTAACAATCTCTTACTTGAAGTAGTTGGACACATCAATCTCAGAGAATGCACTTTCTGCAGGAAAAGTGAGATAAATTTGTCTAGACCCCGGAACAATACCACCATTCTCACTTCGATCACTAGCATACTCCGAGTATTTTGGAGCATCTTCAGCCAAGATCACTGAATGCTGTCCATGAGGCCTAGAGAACATAATAAACCTCACTAATCAATCAGGAGAACAGGAAAAACAGGAGAAATATATATATCACTTAGACCAGAACATAATATTAAACCTTACCGGTCAATGAGACATATGCTGTTTCTCAACCGAGCAAGGAGCCTAGTAAGGCTGTAGCCAGCCTTACCGTGTCTCTGGCTCTCGGTAAGATAACCTTCAGCCTGAAGAGTCCTGCCAAATTTGTCATAATACAGCATTGGCAATGTGGCAATTGAAATGGGGCTTCCATTTCTTGATCTCAGAAGTTCAATCAGATCCAATTCAAGTTTCTCAAGTGAACCTACTGGGAACATACTATGATCATCAATCCCATTCCCATTCCCATTCCCATTCCCAAACCTGACATCGTTTGATCCGAGACCCAACAACTCAGAAAAACTTTCAAGGGTCATTGGATTACTATGATAGAACCTACAGTTGTTACCATGCTTGCAGATCCCCTTGCTGAAGTAATGACAGACTTTTGGGGGGAATTCAATCAAACTCCGCGACCTTCTTGAGACTCTGTCAGTAGCAAATCCACTAAAACCAGGCTGATCAGGGTAACTATAATTGCTGTGCAACTCTGAATCAAATGAGTTACTCAGCTTTAAGTAATCATCCTTGAATTTCAAGGACCGCGGAACCTGTTCTTCAAGACCATTGGCCTCCTGAACATTCCAAGAAGCACTCAATGGCATGTTTGAGTTTGAGTAAGTCCGAAAATCAGGAAAACCCTGATATGGATTGCTATACTGAATGGGGTTATTAAGTTGAGAAGACACTGAAGCAAACGACATTTGCTGCTGCTGCTGCTGCTGCTGTAGCAACTGTTGCAGTTGCTGCTGCTGCCACTGCAGCAGTTGGTTAGACAAAGACAAACTAAGAGTATGTTTTACTTTGTTCGCCACATCTCTAATTACATTATCAGGGCTAAACGCGAGGCGAATCATATCCTGATCACCAAAGTCTTGTAACAACAAGTATCCTACAATCTTTGAGGCATGCTCAGGCTCTACCTCCTGAATTCGACTCGACACAATTTGCATTGAATTCGACAAATCCATCATATAATTGAACTCACAATTCTGCCATTTTAAGAATGCAAATGTGGGTAATTAGCCCTATAACAAACAGTAAGCATAAATCATCTAAAAAAACCATCTAAAACTTTATACAAAATAAAGTATCAAGAAATGAAGTATAAGAAAAATTAGGATCTTAATCTACATGCTTAAATTAACCAATCAAAAAAAAAATGAAAAGTAACACATTTTATATAAATTACATTCGTGTCAATTTTGACATGTTTTTAACCAAATTTCTTTAAAATTACATCCTAAAAATGCAAAAACACACGGAGTAGACAATTCAAATTATATTATTATTATAAAAAAAAATACCAGACTAAACAATAAAAAATGCAAAACCATAAAAAAACCCAAACTTCAACAAAATCAATTTAAAAATTGAAAAAAATTATAACATAAAACTATAAAATGTGATGAATAAAAGGCATGGAGTACTTACAATACAAATAAGCCGAAAATGTAACCCTTGTTTGATTTTATATTAATCTTCTCAACTCCAAAAAAAAAAAGTTGAAGAGGCAACTCAATCACAACCCTCAATTTCAAACATCCTGCATATTCTTACTCGTACTGAATTGATTTTGTCTATAATTAGCGTCTACACATTAAATCCTTAACAAAAACCCATAATGATAATTACAGTAATAATTTCACACATAATTTTCTAAAGAATTTTATTTTAAAAACATTATACTCGTAGAATAAGTTTGGAAGGGTACAAGTCAGCAAATTTTGTGATTTTGATGGTATGTTTGGATTTATTTTATTATTTTTTTAATCAAAAAATAATAATAAAATTAACTACTTTGCTGATTACATGGAATTAGATCAATGTGTAGATTAAGATTCCTTATAATTAGGAGATATAGTTAAAAATAAAATCACAGTCTATATCTTTAATAACTAGGTCAGACTTCGTGTTAAAAAAGATTTTTTGATTTTATTTTTTTTATTTGAAACAAAATTTTAAAAATTACTCTGTATATTTACTACTGTAATATTAATAATACGGAGTACATAATACAATACAGGGTATTATTAATACTCTGTAATATTAATACTCCGTGTAATATAATACTATACGGGTTGTAGCTAAGGACTTGCTTACAATATTAAATAATCCTGAGCTATTAGCTTGACCATTGGAGCTAGAAAATGCAATTAGCTTGGCTAAGCAAATTAGTTTTGTCAAACTTTGTCAAGCTAATTTGCTTGGAGAAAAACTTATCAAAAAAATATAAAATAGAATTAATAAAATAAAATATAAAAAGTTAATAAAAGATGGGAAATTCATTTAGATTGTGAGCTAATAGCTAGTCATTAGAGTTCAAAGTAGCTACAATAACAATTAGCTTAAAAGCTTATGTGGCTTGTCAAGCTAGTTGTCAAATTAGCTTGCCATTAGAGCAACTTCAATGGCAAGCTAATTATCATTGTAGCTACTTTTTGCTCTAATGGCTAGCTATTAGCTTAGTAATAGTTGTGGATAGAAAATAAATAGAAAGAGCTTAATTGGTGCAATGAGCATTTTCATTTTGGAAAGTTTAATTCCCCAGCAAATTAGCTTTGCCTTGCTTTGCCAAACTAATTGAGTTTCTAGCTCCAATGGTCAAGCTAATAGATAGGGAATTATTGTAATTGCAAGCAAGTCCTTAACCATTAGAGTTGCTCTTAATTGACAAACATTACAATGACGAATCAAAAATGATGAAAGCCAAATATTAATCATCTTTCTCTCCAGATACAATAAAATTAAATTAATCGAGATATTAATAATCCATTATTTACAGAGAAAATAAATACTCCCTCCGTTTTTAAATACTTGCTCAATTTCTCCAAAAGCAGAGTTTTTGGAAAAATTGGAGAAAGTAATAAAATATGGAGGTAGTGGAGTAAGTAGAAGAAAAAATATTATAAAAAGTAAAAGTAATGAAGAGAATTAGAGGAGAGAGAATATGAAATTAATTAAATATGATTTATGTTGGGTTCACTAGATGAGAGAAATTAATTAAATATTGTAAAAGCGTTTCAAATAAGGAAATGAAGCAACTACTATCTCCGTTAAATGTTTTCTGCAACTTTGGGAGGGTTTGCGATTCACAAAGCAAAATTTGATAATGATGATTAATGTATTTTAGGGGTATGTAATTAAGGTGGAGAGAGAATATCTGAATATTTAATTAACCACCTACTACCACCCCAAGACCAGCCAACACCACCCAGTGCCACCACCAAGACCAGCCAACAATCCAACACCGCCTTCACCAACACACCACCGCGGCACCGCCTACACCAACACCACCGCCGCCTTCAACGCCAGATTCACCACCACCACTACCACCCCACGATACCACCACGATACCCCACCATTTTAGATCTGATGGATTCCACCACCACCACCATTCTCACGAAACCACCACAAAACCACCACCAGCCCCACGAAACCCCCAAGAAACCACCACCACTACCAACCCTCATGAAAACCACCACCACTACCAACCCCCACGAAACCACCACCACTACCAACCCCACGAAACCCACCTATACAAAACCCACGCCACCAGCCCAACAAAACCCAAGAACCACCTCGACGATACCCACCCCCGCGAAAAACAACACCCATCACGAATTCAACAAACCCCCATCACGTATTCAATTTCTTGAAAAACAAAACCCATCACTAATTCAACTAACTCCCACGAAATCATCACCACCAATTCAACAAACCCAAGAATTCAATTTCTTAAAAGTTGAAGAAAGAGAAAGAAGATCTCAAATCCATGAAACTCACTTTAAATTTTTGAAAGTAGAAGAGATAGAAAGAAGATCTAAAAAAAGATGAAGAGAGATAATGATATTGAAAGAGGAGAGAGAAAATATGGGGGAAGACGAAGATGAATGATGATGAATATAAATGAAGATGAAGATGGGTTTTGGGTTTCGTGAGTTGAAGATGAAAGTTGATGAATTAGATTGGGTTAATTAGGGTGAAATTGGGTGAGAAATTAGTGATTAATTAAATCTGATTATAGTTAGTAAATTGTGTTTTAATTTTTTAAATGAGGGTAAAATTGACATTTGACTAGTTTTTTTTTTTACTAAAAGAGGAAAGAAATATTTTTGTTGTACATAATGTTTAACGGATAAAAATAGTAAAAGTTGCAGATAACATTTAACGGAGGTAGTATTTAAAAATGGCAGAAAAAGGAAAGTGAAGCAAGTATTTAAAAATGGAGGGAGTAAATAAACAAAAACCCAAACCTTTGATTTTCTACATGCATGTCTTAATTTGAGAGTTTTAATTGTTTCTCCAAATTAAGAATAATTTTGAAGTTGAAGGGTAACTAAATTTTACCTTCATACTTGGGAGATTGGATATTGTTGCATTTGCATTGATTTTTTTTATTTTTTTTACAATAAAAGGAAATAAAGATTGTGAGATGAAAAAGGGTTTATTCCGTATGAGAAAAGCAGTGCGTACTGTGTTGTGGGTTGAAATGAGAAAAACTTTGTAATTTTTAATTTTTTATAGAAAGAACTAGATTAGCTCCCGCACGATGAACGGATATAATAACAAGAGTTTATAGTTATATACATGCATTTTCAAGTCATATTATCACTCAAAATATGTAAAATCTTTGTAATATCAACACCAAACTAAAAAAAAAAATAGTACTTTGTATAAAAAAAAATTCATGTTTACAACAAAATTCAATGGAATTTGTAATTAGATGGAGTAATCACATATATATACACATGGTTAATATTTGTTTTCTTTAAGATTAGCTATATGTAACCTTTTTTTTTTTTTGAAGCATAGCTATATGTAACTTAACATAAAAGTATTTTGCAGTTAATATTTAGCTTTTCCAAAATAAATAAAAATTAAATAAAAAATAAATAAATAAAGAAAATTGGAAGAGAAAAAAAAAAGTTTATGCGGGAAAAAATTTAAGGAGAAGCTGACATGTGTACATTTTAAAAAAAAGATATGTCAGCGGTTGTTTTTTAGTTTTAATTATTATTATAGATTATTAGTGTTGGTACTATGTTCTGCACGATTATGGCAAATTACAAATTTTATAGCGATTTTGATTGTCAATTTCGTTTGTAATTTTGATGATTTTATTAATCATAATTAGGGTTGTGTATCGGTCCAAAACTAGACCGGACCGGACCGGACCAAAATGGACCAGAACCCAAAATTTCCTGCTTTTGAGAACCAGGGATCGGATCATAATCAACCGGTCCGGGTTTCGATCTAGACATGTTTATTTCGGTCCGATCCAAACTATTATATATTTTTTGTATTTTAATACAACGTATCTTTTTATATACATCATTTTTTACCGTCTTGTTTTTATTTGCATACTTTCCTATTTTGCACCTAGAACTTATAAATTACAAGTTTAATACCTAAATTTTTTTAGAAATTGAAACATAAAATTTAAAATTTTCACTCAAATAATAATTTAAAAAAATATATTTTTCGGTCCATTCCAGTTCGGATTAGAATATTCTGATTTTTACTGGATCGGAAACCTGGAATCAACAATTTGTGAGGACCGAAGACTGACCCGGAATCCAATGGTCCGATCCGGTCTGATTTCCGAGCTCGGTCCTTTTTGGCATACCCCTAATAATAATGATGAAAGAAATAAAAATTATTGAATATGTTGTTAAAGGAAGAGGTAGTTTGAATTTCAATTTTTTGTATAAAATTTTAAAGTTTTTTTTTTCATGAAACACGATGATGTTCATGTATAATAGTTGTTATTTGTATTATTATTTTGGTGTTTAGAGAGCCACAAAGGGCATGTGATGAGAATCGATCTCATAATCTCTTAAATCTTAGAGGGGAGCTCTAAGGTTGCTCTTTGTATTTTGATGTTTTTATATGTACTTACAAGCTAGATTTAATCTAAGGTACATTATTAATTTGAATATTCATCATTTATGGTACTTGTAAGAAAAAAAAATAAAAAATAAAAAAAATAATTATATAAAAAACGTATCCAACTTGCTAAAAAGTGCCCCTATTTTTTTCGTTTTATTTGACTTTTCACGGTATTCAAGACGCGTCTTTAAAAGAATATATCTCTATTTTTATGAAAATTATAAAAACTTTATATTAATAATATATGCAATGTAACGAATACAACCAGATCTCACACGAATATATTATTTCTTATAGATTAATGAAAATCGATGGTCAAAGTTTTACAAGTTTGACCCATTTTTTAGCAATGGGTCAAAAAATTTGAGGATGGACCAATGGAGAAGTAGTTGCCGAGGAGCATTATGTATTTCGTAAAAGTTTGGGAACGATATTCTTGGTGTGACGTGCTTTATCATATACTCCCTCCGTCCCTAAATTACATTCTTACTTTTAGCATTTATTCCTTGCATAATAGAGAGAAATAGAAATGAAAATTAGGGACGAGGGGAGTAAAAAGGTGAAGAACCTAAATTTTCAATTACAGAATTGAATAGGATGAATATCATGAGTAAACATATACTCCCTCCGTCCCATAATACCCGAGACGTTGGATTTTTTTTTCACTATTCATTGCGTTAGGTTTGACTATATTTTCTTACTAACATAATAAAAATATATTTTAACATAAAATATGTTGTTAATTAGATAAGTTTTAATATAAATTTTCATAATATAATTTTAAAATAATTTTCAATAATATTTAATTATAAAAATAAAGTCAAACTAGTGCATTGGTATGTGCAATGTTTGACTGTAATACCCCGTATTTTTACATGTATTTTAATTTAAATAAGTATTTCATAAAGTATTTAAATAATTTGAAATGAATTATTTATGATATTTTATTAATTTAAAAAGGTTTTATTTAAATAAAGGACCATTTTTATTATTTAATAACATTGAAAATATTTTATTTCATCATTTAGAAACTTTGGGGCACATAATGTTATAAAAGGAAGTTTTTAAGTCAATGGAATTTTTAAGAATGACTAGTTTGAATTGGAGAAGGGATCATTAAAGATAGAAAGGGAATTTAAGCTTATGAGGGTTTTAGAGAAGGGGTATAAATACCCATCTTATGAGCAAGTTAGATCTTGCCCAAGGTGGAGAATACCCAAAGGTAAACTCTCTCTCTCTCTCTCCTTTAACTCCCCCTCTTCTCACATCACACGACACACACACACACACCATGCATGGGTGGCCGACTGCCACCACCATCACCGGTCGGCCATCGTAAGCACTCGCCGGCAGCAACCATCAGAGGCAGCGGCATCCGTCTTCCCCTCCCCTTGTTGTGCGTGTATTTGAACAAAAAAAATCTTCTTTTTGTTTAATCCTAATATAGCCTTGATTAAATTATTGTTTTTCGATTGTGTGATGATTTTTATGATGTTTGATTATAATTATTATGCATATAATTTTCATATTTAGTTTTTGAATTAAAAAGCCCCAAATTAAAAACCCTAGGTTTCCAAATTATTGTATATTGATGGGAATTGATTATAGATGATTGAAACTATCAAATTAGATATTTTTAATCATAATTACAACAATTTAACAGGTTTTTATAAAGATGGCATTTTTATATAAAGGTTAGAATTGTGTTTCTTGAAAGGATTTTTAATTACCCATTAATTGAAAATAAATGTAAGGGTTTTAAATTAATTTTAGCTTGTTTTAGATGGTTTAAAAGTGATTTAAAGAGTGTATATATTGCTAGAAATTTATATTGAATAGGTATTAATGTCTCTTTAAAATTTTGGGTTATAGGAGATTTCGTGTAGTTGTGGCGATTTTAAAATCATATTCAAGGTACGTTCGCGTACTTGGTAATTATTTAAGTGTATAGAAGCATGTTAGGCTT